TATATATATATATATACATTAAAATTTTATTTATGTATAAACTAGTATGACAGTAGTTATAGATATTTACAAACATTAAGTAGTATTATTTAGCAGTCCAAAATTTCTATAGGAGTCTATTATTCTAATTTTTGATAAAATATAATATTTTAAATGGAAATAAAAATAAAATTTTTAATGATATACATGATGAATTGCGATTATTGCTACATTCTGCCGAATAATGATAATCAATAAACTGTCTGACTACTTATAATGCTAAATATGTATCTTTATATCAATTCGTGTTCGACGAATTGATACAAATCAAATCAAATTCGTAATGTCTTAGAATGTATGAATGCCTTAACTAATATCATTGAATTTTCTCGTGAATTTTTTTTCATCTATCTTATACGACATACATCCATAACTTTCTTTTGATAAGTGATGAAAATAACATATATTATTACCTCTTGAACGCCTCGTCATAAGCAATAATTTTATTTTTTTAAATTCCTATAATTTAAGAATATCCTTGTTAAGTATTTTAAAGTAGCCCGTTAATTCTGTTTTTTTTTAAATAATCTATATTTTTATGTAATATCATATTTTTCTAATATATTACATAAAATAACATAATATCTCAAAAACTTAAAATGTCATGGCGTTAAAGGGTTAATAAAATTGTTTGAATATCATGATAATTTAGTTTCAATGTCGCGTGAATACTCTCGATATGTTGCTTGAGATTAATCTTCCACTTGAACTTTCGATCGCAGTAAATTCATTCTTTTGTTAGATTCCGCATTCGCTTTTTTTATATGCAGTTCTAAATGCTTCCTCCACAAAAAATTTTTTCGCAGGCATGGCAAATTAGCAATATTGATTTTTCAAATATAGAACTACCTAAAAATTAACGGCATAGTCAATACAACGTAATGATTTCTTTAAAGTAATTAAACTGCAAAGTAAATAAACTCTTCATGTGATTTCAAATATAATTTTAGAATATACGTAATTAGAAAATACAAGCACGGTATGTTGGAAAATATTAATAATTTTGTATGTTTTTGAGCGAAGAGTTATTTACTCCGATATAGTAAATTTGATTAAAAATTTATTTTCATAATTAACCCAGAGTAAAAATATTCTTAACTTGTCACCACTATTTCACCAAAATAATTAATTTTTGAAATATACTTGATATACTTAATTATACTTGACATATACTTCAATAATATAGAAACACAAATATAAAATGAAAAGAACTAATTTTTTCAACGACGTCGTATAAACAAAACTTCACTTTTCACACACACACACACACACACACACACACACACACACACACACACACACACACACACACACACACACACACACAATTTTATAGAACACGAAACTCTTTACTCTGGCGATGTGAAATTCGTATACATTTTAAGGATAAACACAATCATTGAAAAATAATAGAATACAATGGTTTAATTTAATAAACTGACACTCAAATAAAAAAGAAAAGAATAAGAATATGGCACAGTGCCCTCTTTTTGCTATTTAATTTTATTTTCTGCATTTGATTTATTCATTCAGTTTGGAATGTGTATTTTATTGATGGCTGTACCGAAACTTCGGTTAGCACATCAAACACGAATAATTTGACGAAATTAACGTTCAAATTAGCATTCAAAGAAATTTTTCTTTTTCACAAATTATATATTCGAAGTGGCATATGATATACTTTCAGATCCACGAGTCTGAATCTTTTATCGCATACTGTTGTTCCTTACCGCATTCCTCGCGTTTATGCGCCACCAGAGAATGTTTCCATATGTACCGTTTACCACATGCATCACAGATATATTGTCATCTACCACACGATAATTATTACGCCTGGCTTGACCTAAAAAAGAATACGCCATTAGAATGTATTCTAATTACTATAGCCTTGTAAGATTTATGTTCTTTTTCTCAGTCGCGTTCAAGTTCATTAGAAAGCTTCTTTATTTCTTTGACAAAATGAAATTATTCGATTAAGTTTGTCATCTGCCACCGTTAATCAATTGGTTTTTTAAAGACAAATTTGAAATCAGAATATAGTTTCGCAGTCTTTATTTTTCTAGCAAAAGAGTTTATAAACAGCGTGTATTTCACTTCTGCGCTATCTACATTCTCTGCCATCATATTATCGACCTTAATTATATTCACATTGAAAACAAAAATAACAGATGTTGTTTATAAGATGCAAAGGAAAATCTCATATTCTACACAATCTTCCTATAGAACATAAAATATTTATTATTCCAATACACGCATTACTTTTAAAATAAATGTAAATGATTATTAAGGGCACATGCTGGCGCCTGGCGTAATAGTCAAATTCTAATAGCTGATTAAATGTGATTTACACACATATGATTTATAAAACATCGACACATCGTTAACATTACATAATATATAACATTACATAACTGTATTAATACCGCACGCACATAAATACACAATTTATACAAAAAGAGAATCTTTTAAGTAGACCTTCAAACTTATTTTTAACGATTTACCATTACTCACTTATTTTTTTTACATCTGGTCTGCTTTTATTTCACGCATGTGACCTGCACAACCTTTCTACGAGTAAATGTTTCGATAAATTGACAGCTTTAATCATCATCTTGAAGTATAAAAATCGATATGAAAATCTGTAATTTCGCGTTATTTCTTTCCTGTCTTTAGCACAAAATAGACTGGCGCTATAAAGCATGTACATTTTAATCGTGAAGAAGGAATTTTAAATCTACGAAACTTATAAGTATATCTACTAAGTATATCTCATGTAACAAAAATGACATTTTTGTAAAACAGACGACGCCAGCATCACCTTAAGTCGAGTTGAGTCCAAGCAAACAAAATACTCATTCGTGTATGTTGACTTGATTTCGGGATTCAGTTTGAAGAACAACAAACTATATACTTTCCTTGTATAGTAACGCTATGCAATTTACATTTCCTAAACAAAACACAAAAAAAGAAAAATATATTGTGTAAATGATCTAGTTGTGATTCAAGATGATGGCAGAAAATTCTTATATCTGGTAACGTCGAGTCTTATTAATTCCAGACTTGTTTAACGTCATAAAAAAGTGACTTTTTTTATTTATTCTGCAGTTTAGCGTCTATCTGAGAGTAAATTTTCGGAAGACTAAGGAGAGGGGGGGGGGGGGAGAGAGAGAGAGAGAGAGAGAGAGAGAGAGAGTATAATAATAAAATTAAATAAAATGGTACTTTTCCACACAGCATTTTTCAGTTACATAAGCAAACACTAGGCGTGAGAAAATCTTGTTTGGACATCTCTTATGCGAGAGCATCGTTCAAGTCGTCCTAAAGCTGCTATTGGATGAAAAAAATAATACAACGTCATTTTTATCTTACTTTATTATTGCATTATGTATTCAGGTTTGTTCCAGTTGTGAACGTGAATCAAGTGTAGTTTGAGCTGACGGCTACGCCGGAGCGTTGCATTGCATACTGGACATGGGTAGTACTGCTTCTTACCGCAGTCCTCGCGTTTGTGCCTCGTCAGAGACGGTTTCCATGTGTACTCCTTACCGCATGCATCACAGGTGTATTTGCCGCGGTACCGCCTATGATAATTTTGAAGTCTATAGGATCCATCGTCATTACCTGAAAAGAAAGCACGATGTTAGCGTGTGCTCTTAGCTGTTGCAATCTCACAGTCAGATCTATATTCTTTCTTAAGTCTTCATCGTGCCGTGGCAATTTATTAACGCGCTCTTTTTTATTTTCTCAAAAGAGAATAATAGTTCCTTAGGTTTGTCACCTGGTTTAGATTTTATCAGTATAATTCATGTAAATTGAGTTTCTTCAAAGATTCTTTTCTAAGCACAATTTTAAAATCGAAATGTACAGATTCGCAATTTTGAGTCTTTCGATGGAAATTAAAAAATTTCAGAAGGAATATAGGAAATTAGTACAGTCGACAATCTTCACATATTTTTGTTTTTAGCATCTATTCTCTACTCTTGCAATATGTTCTTCGTATTCGTATAGGAGAAGAAGATAAAGAAATATTCGTATTATATACAATTTTTATTTCAATAATCAGTCACTTTTTTCTTTTCAATTATTTTATATAAATCGTACGAAGAAAGTATAGGGCCTGCTAAAGGAATGATTAACTAACCATGAACAATAATTAAATTACACATAAATATTTTACAATGAAATGTGATGATAATTATCTTACGAATGAATATGATACATTTATTATTAAAATAATTACCAAAAATTGTTGTTCTCTTTATAAATATTGGCGTCTCATTATTAAAAATATATAGTAATGCAAACACAATTTTATTTTAAGTAATAATGAAATGTTATGAAAAGTATGTTATAAAAAAATCATTCATATTTGAAATTAAATTATCTTCAATAATATTTCATTCTCTAAATAAAAATATATTATATAGAATATGTACAATATAAATTATACAAATAATATATACAAATTAACATAAAATCAATTATATTAAACATTATTTTTATCAAAAATATTACTCTAGTATTATGTATGAAAAACTTTCATGTAGATATATTTATTTTCATTTATGTTATCTGGATTTGATTTCATTCAATATTATTGAATGAAATTAAATAGATAATATAAATTCAAATAATAGAAAATCCAGATAATAATATGTAAGATTACTTTTATTACTTTGCCTTAAATTTCATCTGTTAGAAAAAAATGGCTTGAAAAATTATATATTAAATTTCCTAAAATATTAAATTTGTATCTATAAAATATTATATATTACATATAAAAATTAATATTTAGACTATAAAAATAAAAATATTGAAATATTAACTTTATATATTAACATTATAAATAAAAAATTAAATTAATGAAAAACAAAAATATACGCGCGATAAAATTTTATTAAGTCCGTTTTCTATATTATAGCTGAACTAGTGTACACTTTTGGAACTTAAAGCAAAATAGATACATGTTTGGTATTTAATAAAAGCGAGAAAGGAAATTCTAGTGTACACAGAGAAAAAGGTTTCTTTGGATTTAGTATTCCTATTTATTTGACTAAAATTTGTTTTATTGAAACAACATATGCTTGTACGAAATATTATTTGTTTGAATAAAATTTGTTGTTTCATTCGAGAAATCTCTATTGCTTGAAAGAAATAACATTATTATTCGAAGTAATATCTTTCAATTAAATAATATATTATTTGGTTACAATGAATACGAACAATGAAACAAATTGTTTATTTGAAAATGGCAAAATATATTCATAGAGGTTAGGTTATTCCATGCAAATAATTGCTTTCTTAAAATAATGATTACATTTTTTGACTGAAAATATGGAAACAATGGCTTATATGTTTAACAACAGGATTAGAGCAGTGCTATGTATCAATTATTTTTGTGCCGTACAATTGATCACGCGAATACTGAAGATAGATATTATCTGTTCAAACAAATAATGTATTTAAGACAAAAATATACATTGTTTCAAATTCAAACAATCACACTTATTGATTCAAACATTGGTTTGTTTGGACCATTCCAAATAACAAATTTATTTGAATACAATAAAGTTTATTACATCCAAAGAAATCTTTTTCTCTGTATAGTCTAGTACAGGAATAAAAATCAGATCTATTGATTATGTATATGATTATGATAGTATTATGTAGATTTTCTTGATTATTGTTGATCGTTCCAAATGTTCTTGCCGTTCGGAATGACTACACCATGAACGTTGACTATGTGCTTCTTCAGCACCCACTTATGTCTAATTTTTGCACCGCATATATAACAACTGTACTGCGGATCTTTTCCACATTCTTCCCGTTCGTGTCTGACCAATGACTGCATCCATTTGTATTCTTTCCCACATTTCGAACAAAAGTGTCTGCCCAGTCTCTTGTAGTAGTCCGTCATGTTGTACTGCGTTGAGTCTGGAAAAAACAATAAGCGACACGTTAATGCGTTTGTGAACCTGTTGACGCATCTGCAGATTCGTCTATATGGAATAAATAAAATACGTATCTTCTCATTTTAGATAATGTATCAATTGGTTTATCTCGCTAATCTGATTTATTTGCGATACAAATATTAAATGCGTCAGACATCGATATTTAAGTGTATCTGTTATTTTTTTTTTCTAAGGCTAGGTTGTTCCATCTTTCGGTAAACTTCAGCTCACTGTCTTACTCTCTTACTCTTTTATGTTTTAGTCTTTTGTTTATCCAATAATTAAATTACCACATAGTTTATCTAAAGATGGAACAATCGGCCCTTAGTGTCGCAGATAGTAATTAAATATTATCACATTTTAGTTCGTTTTCCCCACATAATTATTGTTATTTCTCCTTAAACCATTAAAATATTCATATATATACGTTGTCGTTCTTTTGTATAAAAATTAATTTTATTTAAAAACTTTATTTATTTAAAAAGATAGTTTAAGAATGTCTTTATTTTTTCATAAATATATGACAAAAAATACAGTAAACGAGACTCAAATTGGTAAAATTGTTTCTATTAAATTACGAGAACAGCAATGTTATTTAAAAAATGCAGATCAGAAAATGTATCAGTATTATATTCTTTTTACTGTAATGCTAAAGAAATTTAAATTCTACTATTTAGAAAATGTTCCATTATTTTACACGATTTTATGTGTTGTCTTATATAATAATTCATTGTCGCAGTGTCTTTTTAATAGCTGTAAAACGATTATCAAGATAAACGTTTACAACTTACTTATCGTTAAAATCTATTTTATAATATTACTTATATCATAGACTTGTTAGGGTCTATGTTACAATAACTTTTGTACCGTTTGCACAGATTTGTTATAGTCTACATTATAATATTGCTTGTCCACTTTTCTCAATATAGAGCACACTTAATCTGTACATTCCACATTCATTCCATTATTTTTTAATTATATCGCACCCATCTACGTTTCAATCTTATCTGTTAAATACTTTCCCGTGTAAAATTTGTGGATTCTTTTCATGTCTTATGTTTCATTTTTTGCACATTGTAATTAGCGACATAGAATACTTACGCGAATAATAACTTTCTCTAAGTAAACTTTCTTATCGTGATACGTATGTGTCTTCTGGGACATTTTACAGAAAATATTAAATTATACACAGGTACGAAAAAGCGTGGCTGATAGACACAATTACACATTTAATTCCATACGCCATTGTACGTATACTGGCGATAAAGAGCTATACCTTTTCATTCATTGTTTCGCGATCTTCTATTTAAATATATTAGTAGTTATATGACTTATATTTATAAAAATTATTGCATATTAATATAAATTATAGCTTCCCAAAGCTTTGTTGCTGATATTTTAAACTGAAAAACTTTTGCACAGCTTATATACAGTTTTAATTTTTCAATAAAAATTCTATTACTTTCTTATCTGATATATATATTAGATTGTCCAGTTTTATTTTATTTTAAATAAATGGTGTATATGTCACAGTCAAAATGTTAATTTTATAGTAAATGTGTATACAGAATGTCCTGTAAAGCGGAACAACGCTTAAGGGGAGATTTTTGATATAATTTTGAGATGAAAATTCTAATATCAAAATGTCTCTCTCTCGAGGGAAAATGTTCTTTTTAATAAATATCACATAATAAATATCAATAATTAGAAATATCAGTAACTGTATCTTTGCATTCATAATCTTTATATCGATATTTACAAGAGACAGTAATTAGTTTTTATTTTTAGCATTTTGCGTTGTACTATACTCGAATGCGCAAATTTTAAACGGTATTATAATTCGTTAACTGTAAATGCTTATAATTCAAAGAACTTTATAGCCTAGATATTTTGGTATTAGAATTTCTTAAAATAATCATCTTAAAATAATCTTAGGAATCTCCCCTTAAGCGTTGTTTCAGTCTTTATGGGACACCCTGTATGTATATACCGGTGGTCCAAAATAAAGCGTTACAAATTTTTATCTCGGAAACACGGTATTATTGAGAAAAGTTGTTCAGACAAAAGTTGTAGGGTTCAAAAAGGTCTATTTACTAATCTCATCAATTTGATTTTGGGTGGCGTCGCTATAAGGTCAGGTCAAAGTCACGTCGATTTTTTAAAATGGAATACTCTACTTTTGATTCCAGAATTTAATAGCTGGTGTCGAGAGCTTTCTAAAACACTACAATAAAGTTATTGTTTATTGAGTATTTTTCAAATTTAATGCTTGAAAGTTACAGTACCACTGGCATTAGTATTATCTAAAGCGTCTGATGATTAAAATCTTTTGAATGTTGTTCAGGATCATGTCCTGGATAACATTTATCAAGATCAAGGCCATTGGAGATTATCCTCTTATTTTCATTTTTGCATTAAAAATTCATTTTTATGTAGAAATGAATGAGAATAAGAGGTACAATCTCTTGGCTTTGATCTTGATAAATGATATTCAGGACATAATCCTGAACAACATTCAAGAGATTTCAGCCGTCGGACACCTTGGGTAGTAGAGATCCTAAAAGTAGAGATCGGCCAAAGCCCGGCATGATGTTGCGAAACCGGAAATTACGTGATCTTGGAAATACGCGCCAATACATCAACGCCAATTTCGATGAGATCGATAGCAATCTGGTATCGCTTCTCTTACTCTCATATTCGCTTCTCTCACTCTCACATTCGGTTTCACAACAATATGGCTGAGCCAATCACGGATCGAGTCGGCATTGACCGATCTCTACTTTTAGGATCTCTAACCTTGGGTAATGCTAATACCGGCGGTACTGTAACTGTCAAGCATCATAACTCTCAAAAAATACTTAATGAAAAAATATTTTCTTACAGCATTTTGGAAAGCTCTCGATAACAGCTGTTAGATTCTGGAAACAAAAATAGGGTGTTCCATTAAAAAAAATCGATGTGACCTTGATCTGGTCCTTGGCGACGCCATCCAAGGTCAAACTGATGAGATCAGTAAATAGACCTTTTTGAACCCTACAACTTTTGTCTGAACAATTTTTCTCAATAATGCCATGTTTTCGAGATAAATATTTGTAACGCTTTATTTTGTACACTCGGTATATAGACAGCCATAAAAGATATTTTCATAAAATCTTTAGTTAGAATAAGTTTTTATAAGATTGAACACTGTTAAAAAAAGTATATACTTAATAAGATAAAATTATTATGAAAGAGATTATCAAGATATGAACTAATATTATTAGCTTCATTGAACTATGATAAATTTTAAAAGAGATGTGCTACATTTTTTTATACACACAGTAAAAATGATACGAATAATTTATTTTATCAAAATATACATTTTCTACATAATGTATTTAAAATCACTCTTTTTATATAAGCAGATCATCAATATTCATATTATAACAGTATTTTCTTCAAAGATAGCATATTTAATAATTTTTAACAAATTAAACTGTATACTGTCTTGATTTTCATTTCGTCTATTTCAATATTGAAATAAATACAATGAAAAATGGTCAATTAGAAATATTCTTTCGGGACGCGAAAAATACAGTACGGAAAATCCGGAAAATATGTACGATATATGAAATAATCTTTATCTAATATAGAAATCAATCATTTTTTTACATCTGATTTTATTAATAATTCGCATACTCTCTCTCTCTTTCCCTGATATTCAAATAATATCAACAATACGACATAATGGGCGGTTTATATCGTTCAGGTCGTAGTAATCGCATTTTTCGAGATATAGGCTTGGTTATTTTCAACAACGGATTCGTGTAGAGGAACACAAATTTTCCTATTTATGAATATGGTTCTCGTGGCGTAGCAAATAATCCTTGCGCCGGAATTTCCTTCCGCAAATCGTGCAAATGTGCTTCGGCAATACGCCGCATCCTTCGCGTAGATGCCTCGTCAAGGAGTCCGTCCACGTATAACGCTTACCGCACTTGTAACATGTGAATGGCCGGTCATAGTTAACGCGGCAATGTTCTCTCTTGAATTCTGAAACAAGCCGTAAAAAGGTCGACAATGAGATCAATTTCAATGCCCTTTTTAGCTTTTGCACTTTACTCACATCGCAATAGATAATACCAATTTACTCGAGTCGATCATTTTTAATGAAACAAATAATTGGCGACAGCCATTAACAAAAAAAGCATCAGATCTTAACTTTATTGTATTCTTTTTGTTCTATAATAGACAAAAAAAACACAGGCACAGATGCACTACGCCCGTGCTATTTATTTTTTGATATTATATACTTATATTGTATAATTATATAAAGAACAAGTGTACAAATGTATATGTACACAAGTATGTACAAATAAATCACGCAATCATGATTTTTATCATTTTGTGAGCTGTCAAAATACGATCCCTATATTAACAATGTGTACTTTCGCAGTACGAAGTAACCAAAGCAATTAGAAGACCAATCAGCATCAAAAGCGGCAACAATAAATTCGATATATGTATGAGACTTTTAAAATAGGATATACATGTATATAGTTTATTTTAAAAAGTGTGCGTGCGTGTGTGTGTGTGTGTGTGCACGCGCGCGCACACATGTTCGTATGTACATATACATATCTCGTCTGTATACATATATCGTCTATGTATCATCTATAGACATCCATGTAAAATTTTTTTTATTGTCTGTAATTAGGATAAGTAAGATTAAAAGTTATTTAAAAAAAAGTATGTATTTAATAAGATAAAAATATTGTAAAAAATTATTTTTGAGATATGAATTAATACTACTAACTTCGTTGAACTACGATAAATTCTAAAATGGACGGTGCCATATTTTCTTATACACCAAGTAAAAGTGATTAATACAATTAATTCATATTCTATTTTATCATAATTTATGTATTTTTTACATAGTATTTATAATCACCCTATTTAAGCAGATTATTATTCAGAACAGCATTTTTTTGCAAAGAAATAAGCATAATAATTTTCGATGAATTAAACAATAATTTAATATAAAGGTTATGCGTTTCGCGGGTTTCCTCCGTGTCCAGATCCATTCTTGAAATGTCAACGTTTCGTGAACCTTGTGTCAAAATGACACGATTTATGAGTAAGTGAACAAATAACGTAAAAATAGTGTTTTGAAATGTAAATTCTAAGATAAATAAATAAAATGTGAATTAATTTAACACATCATAAATGTTAATTTTACTGAAAAATATGTTTCCACGGTTTGTTGACAAACTGCGTCAATATTATCTTTTCTTTCAGTGTATTTATTCTTTTACATAATATTTATGAAACTTTCTAACATATTCATCTTGTGTTAAATTAATCAAAAATTTGAGTGGACCGTTTGGGATATGCGATTTGTGTTAAATTCGACACAATTTTCCAACATTACAGTTAAACAATATCAGTGGTGAGCAATTTACACATTTAAGAAACATATTTAAGAAGGAACATAATGTTTTATTCTAAAAAAAAAAAAAACATTAGTCTTTATCAACTCTACTGCGTATGAAAGTTTCTCTGGCGTAGCACATAATATCTGCGTCGAATTTTTGTTCGCAATACACCGCATTCTTCATATAGATGTCTTGACAAGGAGTCCGTCCACTGGTACTATTTGCCGCACTTGTAACAAGTGAATGACTGATCTTTTCTGGCACAATTTCTTTTCTCTTTGGATCCTGAAACAGTTCGTAAAAAAGTCTAGTGAGATAAATTTCGTCGACGATATCTTCTAACTTTTGCACTATACTTACATCACAATGAGTAATACCAATTTACTCAAATCGATCATTTTGAATAGAACAGATAATTGGCAAAAACGAATTAACAGAAAAACATCAAATCTTATCTTTTGACATTTTCTTCTTTTTTATACACATAATACAATGAAACACAAACGCGCACTACGCGTGGACTTCTTGTCTCTTAATATTATATGTATAGTGCCCGTCAAAAGTTTCGGGCCGGCTGAATATCCCGGAAAGTATGCATTTTGAGAAAAATATTTTAGACAAAAATTGTAGGGTTTTAAAAGATCTATTTAATGATCTTATCAGTTTCATCATTTTGGATGGCATCGCCAATGTCAGGTCAAGGTCACGTACAACAAAGTACAAAAAACAATTGTACAAATACATAAGTATACAGATGAATCACGAAATCACGACTTTTAATCTTTGTGAGCTGTCAAAGTACAATTCCTGCACTGACAATATATGTATACTTTCGCAGTATGAAGTAAACAGTGAAATAAGAAGACTATCAACATCGTGAAAAAGTGGCAACAATAAATTCGATATTATATATATATTTGTATATCGTCTGTACATATAGACAACTATTAAAAAAAATTTTTATCGTTTCTAATTAGGATAAGCTTCCATAAGATTGTTAATGCTGTCAAAAAAAATGTATATTTAATAAGATAAAACTATTGTGAAAAATATTTTCAAGATGCAAACTAATATTATTTAGTTTAACTATGATAAATTCTAAACTAGACGTTACTGCATTTTTTTTACACACAAGGATCAATAAAAGTAATTAATGCAATAATTTTATTTTATCAAAATTTGTATCTTCTACATAATATTTATAATCATTTTTTTTAAATAGATTATTATTCAGAATAGTATACTTTGCAAAAAATTAGTACGTATAATTATTTGTGACAAATTAAATTATAATGTATCAATTTTTCATTTTGTGTGTGATGACTATTTTATATATTGAAATAAATATCATCTGATGAAAGATGATTACTTATGATTAGAAATATTCTTTTGAAACGCGAATAATGCGATACGTAAATTTTGAATACGAGTACAATATGAAATAATCTTCTTCTTTTATCGCAGAAATTTTTTTCAAATGGTTTTCTTACATCTTATCTTACTAATAATTTGTATTTGTATACACGAATATTCAAACAATATCAATGATGGGCGATTTATACCGTTCAGAAAATAATGCGATAATCGCATTCTTCGGGATACACGATAATTTTCAATGGCGGATTCCGTTCATAAAATTTTTCTATTTATGAAAGTTCCTCTGGTGGCGTAGCAGATAATGCTTGCGCCGAAATTTTGTATAACAAATCGAGCAACTGTATTTTGGCAATACACCGCACACTTCGCGTAGATGTCTCGACAAAGAATCCGTCCATTGATAACGTTTGCCGCATTTGTAACATGTAAATGGTTGATCCTTGCTGACACGGCTTTTCCTCTTTTTGGATCCTGAAACAGATCGTAAAAAGGTCTAATGAGATAAATTTCATTGACGGTTCCTTTTAATTTTTGCATTTGATTCACATCGCAATAGATAGTGGCAATTTACTAAATCGTCGTTGTTTTGAATGAGATATATGGCTCATTTTGCCTACAAATCGATTGCCTATAGTATCATTTGCCTACATCACTTTTGCTGACAGTTCGTTTGCGCACAAAAATTATTGCCTACAGCTCGATTGCCTACATGTACCTATTCTCTGCTTTAAAAACACAAATTTTCTGTTTTAAAATAAATTATCTGCTTTAAAACACAAATTCTCTGTTTTAGAAATACAAATTATTTTCTTACTTAACTTAATCTTAATTTTATATTTGTGCGCAAAAGTGCTTGTAGGCAATCGAGCTGTAGGCAATAATACATGTGGACAATTGAACTGTAGGCAATAATTTTTTTGTGCAAACGAATTGTCAGCAAAAATGATGTAGGCAAACGATACTGTAGGCAATCGATTTATAGGCAAACGGAATCCTCTAAAAATAGTAAATATGGCAAAAAACGTTGATTTTTGCTCATATTACTCGATTTATCTAAAAAACCTGACATGATGGGCCTTTTCCTGGCGGATTTGGATTCAGAGACTTCGAATTTATTTAAAAATACTAGCCCTGCTCGTCGTAGATTTTCTTGCTGGACTGTGTAATTTGAAACTGGTTCGATTGTTTTTTTGAGGTTAGAACGATATTAGAACAAACCCTTGATCTGAAATAATAAAAGGTTCGAAATACCAAAAAAATAAAAACAATTTTAGTTTGAATAATTTAATTCAAAATTTAATTTAATTTAAAAAATTAAGAAATATAATTAATAAATTAATATATATAATATAATATATAATTTTATATATTTTTTAACAAAAATTAAAGAAAACTTTTAATGATACTTTTTTGACAAATGTATTTTTTTTTAAATTACATCATTATTTTTAAAAAAATAAAAATTTTTAACAATTTGTTTCGAAATTGCATTTTGTGTAAATGCAAGCTTTAGTGTTTCAACTTTAAGTTGAGTTTTCTCACAGTTAAAAAAGAATTTCCCTTAATGCCAAAATAAAGGACAGTAAAAGACAATATTGGAAAATAAAGGGCAAAATTGAGTTTTGAAGAAACAGATAAATCTAAAGGATAACTACCTATATAAAAATAAAGGATTGTCCTTTACAATAAAAGATGTATAGTCACCATACAAATACTATTAGAACGTGAAAGTTAGTTAAACAAAAAATTAAAATAATGTAATAATTTAATACGGAAGATTTTCAATAATATAATAGTACAGTTACAGTTCTTAGAATGTTATGAAACACTGTGCAAATATTAGTGAATATATATATACATAATAATATATACATATTTATATACATATTTTTTCAATGTTTCATCACTTTATCTATATGAAAAATTAAATGAACATTATTATAGTTTTTTCATTGTTTGTAATAAAATTGATGTGTCTTATGTTTAGTTTAGATAGTTTTAGTTTACAAATAACAGGTAATAAACTTCTTTTTCTTAAATTATATACATATATATCGAATTGTTCTTCATTTAAATAAAACTTCAACTAACTATACATATACGTCGGTCATATCACAAATTAGCAATCCATAGATGATAGCACATTATTTACATATCTTCCTAAGGGATTATTTTTAATTGATATTTCACTATGTAAAGAAACTATAGAACTTAATGAAGAAAAACTAAGTATTAAAATATCTGAATTAAAACGATTTTTGTTTTTCTTATCTTTTCTCGGGGCAGCTTATCGTAAAAATAGATTCAATAGATTTAGTAGACAAATAGTGCTAAATTAAGGGTTACAATAACAAACTCAATAAAAATTCCATTTTTATGTATTTATTTTTAATAAAAATAAAATAAATTAAAATATAGAGCAACAAAATATTTGCTTCTATATGTATCAGATAAGAATTTAATTTATCATAAATAGAAAAGCTATAGCTTAATGATTTAACACGTTAAATGCCGAGCCTCTTTTGTTTCACTTTTCGTTTACGCCAAATGCCATCCATTAATACCATCCATTAATTTTTAATAAAGTATTATATTTTCCATTTACTTTAAATTCCTCAAGGATTGACATTTAAATGAAATGTTTATCCTTAGTACGCAGGGACGGGCACGGTAGCGTAACCTAAACAAAATTGAGCGCTCATGGTTCGTAGAGGCCAGCGTAGTGTAAACGAAAAGTCTAGTGCCAGTCCGTAGAGACCGGCGTGGCATTTAACGTGTTAAACAGACGTGATATAATATTAATACCATATATTAAAGCGCATGGATATGTCGATACAATATTAATATAGTATCAGTTATCTCATCGAACTAATCAAATAGCTTTTTTTTATTGATACAAGATTTTTTTTAGATTAGGTAATTATCTCATAACACTTTAGGGTAAAACTGAGAAGCAACACATTATTTGTAAATTTGTTGTTATTGTTGCTTCTTTTCGGTAACGGTTTTACTTTTTTCTGTCAATAATGGTAACGGTATTGTCATTATTTTTTTACAGTAATGAATCGAATTAAATTGTTTTTTATTGTTATTTTAATTTCCTATTATCTTTGTATTTATTTAATATATCACATTATTTTTTATTGGATAAAAATATTTTAATTAAATAAAAATTTAAATATTAAAAAATATTAATGTAAAGAATTATAGAACATTTATATTAGATAAGTTTAATCTAAAAAAAGTTTGTTATATATACATATATACATATACATATATATTATGTAGAGATTGGCTCAGAGATTTAAGATATAATATTGATTCTCACATTTAATTTTGTATTATAATTTATAATAGAAATTTAGATAAGTATTTAGCTATAGTATGGCTCTTACGTGGATGCCATGCTGCCATGTCAAGCCCGTATTCTGTACAAGTCTAAACAATTGTCGGTATTCTTATGTATCTTGCGCAGATATTTTGTATAGTAAAAAAACTACGCAAGACACATAATGACATCGATATATAACTATCGGTAAACATGTATAGGATAGCACCCCCAGGAATAAGCATAAGGCCGTTTGCTTACAAATTGATGGCCCACAGAATCGTTTGCTCACAGCTCGATTATCTATGTGCGCTATTGTACACAAAATTGTAAAATTAAGAGAAAAACTTTGCAGTACACACGACACTGTTGCGCACAAACTGCATTGCACACATAACATTATTGCCTACGGATCGATCGTCTACGAGCACTTTTGCGCACAAATAAAAATTTCAGAAACGAAGTCACATTTGCTTACATGTATTATTGCCTATATACAGCTCGATTGCCTACCTGTAGGATTATTGCCTACAACTCGATTGTCTACAAGTACCATTCTCTGCTTTAAAATTACAAATTCTATTTTAAAACACAAATTTTCTGCTTTAAAATACAAATTTTCTTCTATAAAAATAAATATTATTTTATATTTACGTAAATTAACCTTAAATTTGTGTGAAAAAGTGTTTGTAGACGATCGATCTGTAGACAATAATGTTATGAGTGCAATGTAGTTTATGCACAATAGTGTCGTGTGTACTGTAAAAGTTTTTCTCTCAATCTTACATTTTTGTGTGCAATAGTGCATGTAGACAATCGAGCTGTAATAATTTTTGCGCGAAAACCATTTATCGGCAAAAGTGATGTAGGCAAACGATACTGTAGGCAATCGATCTGAAACTAAACGGAATCCTCCATAGATCTCATTGGAATGGAAAGTCGAACGCCCATAGATATGGAGTCGATCTTGTTTCGCAGCGATGTACATATAATTTTATTTAAACATTTTTGTCATTAAACTTTTTTATCGATGAAAATCCATCCAAGGGCATTCATTTGACGTCATTTAGAGTATTTCTGCCAAAATTCACAATGGACGTTAGACATTTTCAGAAGTTCATTCCACACTTGTAGCATATGTCTCTATAAAAGGGAAGGCCACTTAACTTGTAATTATTTGTAACTCGTGAAGTAACAGCCATGTGTTTCGCATGTATTATAAATAATTACATATTAAGTTGGCTATATCCTTTTAAGACGTTGTACACTATAGCGTCACATCGATAGCAAGGTTGTGCAACACCGGTACTATTCAATACAAGCAATGACTTTTTTATTGTGTTCACAAATGAAGTATGATTAATATATATAATGTATAGTTAATATATATAATGTATTAATATATATAATGTATAGGTGATCAATTATATAAGAAATAAATTATTGATCCTTCCTTTGCCCATCTCGATCCTTCCTCTGCCCATCTCGATCCTTCCTGTGTCCGTCCCAGTCCTTCGCATTGCTAAGCGAAGTACTCAATGCCTTCAAAAGAAGTTTTGTCGTTACAATTTCACCTTGGAATTCATTTTGGAGAAGTATGTCTATAAATTGAAATAAGAAAAATATATTAATAATACAATAAATTTTTGTAATTAAAATATTACTAAAGCTTCTTCATTAAATTATTTATGTAATAATAAAATATTCATGTGCACCTTCTATACATGCATACAAATGTTCGTCCTTCATGAGGGCTTTTCCAGGCGTTACTTTAGATGCTGTATATTCTATAGCGACATTGCGTGTTATAACCATTTTAATCATGGATGTTATAGTTTTAGATAAAGTGGTGGAATAATCTACATAACGGCGGAGATGCTCACACTAGAATGATTAAGTTTATATTAGCGAAATAAATATAATACACAAATAAAAGTATTTCTAAACAAAGTAATTGTGCTTACAAAATTCGATCGAAAATCAGTATCATCGTTGAGACGATCGTTAAAGTTTTTGAAATCTTCTTTGTTATTAAATGGAAGCTTAATATTATATTTTTTTAAAAATATGTTGTCCACATCTGCATTTCTGTTAGACTGTACTTGGTTCAATTGTATTTTGTTCTTTACTACCTTCATGTCTTCCACAAGACTTTCTACTTTGACTGATAGTGAATCTAATTCTGTAACCAAATTCAATTACACGTGCACATACGATTTAAATATTTACACAAAATAATTTTTTTAAAACTTACTAATATTAATTTTTGTAGTTTCTTTCTCGAACATTTCCTGAAGTTTTTTCCAAATTGCACTGTCAGTGCTAAGAACATTCGATCCTATAATTCATACATTATAAATAAATTTATATCAACAAATACAATACTTTTCGACAAACGACTAATAATCGAGTCCATTAGGATGTTCAAATAATCATTTAATTAATATAAAATTTGATTATTATAGGAGAAAAAATTCATATGCATACTCGACTCACAGAGCTTTCATCAGTTCGTTAACATAGAATTCCTAATTACATTCTATCATACAGATACAAAAAATCATCTTTGGGACATGACAATATTTAACAGCATCAGAAAAATCTTGTACAGCCATACAACCTCTTTTCTATGAACTGCTGATTTATTTCACACCATGATGACTATCATTTTTACATATTTTGACTATCACAAATATTGAATTTAATGTTGCCGGTTAACGAGGATTGGTTATGAACTTGATATTTTAACTACTTTATTGAGAACATGGTGTATCAAAAACTATATTCCATCTATTTCCACGGTTTCGACTAAGGTGGCTGTTTGGCAGACGATATGGATCATTATTTACCGTTATTTTATATTTTTATTTTTATCTGTCTGATAGAATGTAATTAAGAATTTTATGTTAACAAACTGATGAAAGCTCTGAGTCGAAATATATGTATATGAATTTTTACTCTTATAGTAATTAAATTTTATATTAATTAAATGATTGTTTGAACAATCTAACGGGCTCGATTATTAGTCGTTTGTGGAAAGGTATTGTTTTCGCTGTGCATTCGAGCGTTATATTTTTATTTTGTTATTAAATTTATGCCAATTTTTTTTTTAAATTGTTTGTATTATATCATACCTTCAGTTGAAACATTGATGCTTTCACATAGAACGGGTATATTGGCGTCTAGTAATATCTCCAAAGGTGTTTGCTCTGAAAAAAAAAAATATCTGAAAAATATGTTTTCAAATATGTTATTATATCATTTAGTTGGAAAAAAGATTGATCCAATCCTTTTCTCATTCCAATAAGTGTTGGATCCATTAGCCTTTTCTTAACAAAGGAAAATATATGTATTATACCATTCCACAAATTTGTCACAGTATAGTTCTCTTTTCTACGGTTTGTTTAATTACATTTTCTTTTGATACATTCAGAGCCGGCTTAAGGTATTTTTAGCCCAGGAACAGATGTTAAAATGGGGCCCCCTTTATTCATAAGAATTGAGCAGTTAGTGCATCTGTATTTATCCTTGTTATTTACACAATGCTAAACAAGGATAAAATGATACATTAATTGCTGCGTAAGCGAATGCACGATGCATCCAAAATGTATGTTTCCAGATTTAAAAAAAAAAACATAGAAATGTGTACTTTTTTTAAGAATATTGTGTGTTTTATTGTACGAAAAAATGCAAAATTAAAAATTTTAATTATTTATTTGCATCTGATTATTTAATTTTATCAATGAAATACAATTTTTAGCTAAGGAGCCCCTTAAAAAGATAGGGCTCGGGACTGAGCTCCCTTAGAGCCCCCCTTCCTCCCTTAATCCAGTCCGCTTAACCCGGTGTGAGCTAGGTGGTAAAGTATCTAAAAGTACCTAAATCTAAAAGTACTTCATAAGACACAATGGATCTCCCACTAAATAAAAATTACAAATAAAATATTCAGAATTAGAAGAAAATTATGTTTATTAAAATTTTAATCAAATTAGTAACAATTTTAAACGTTAAAGAGATAAATGTGTCGGGTGTGATTACAGCGGGTTAATCCTGGATATATTGGATAGTTTTTAGGCAAATTCAATCTTAGCTAAAATGAAACTGTAATTCATAGCGATAATAAATCTATTAATAATTATCAAATGCATAAATTATTATTATCACTATTGCTAATGGTAGTTTGATCACTTAAAATATTTTTATTGATTTCCGAAAAATTTGCATCACAATCAATCCACAATTCTCTTAACCTTTCATTAACATCAGAATTAATGGAAGTCTCGTTATTGCCCAGATAACACTAAATATTCATAGAAAGTTCGATTCGTATTCCCAATATGGCGAATATTCTGGAACAGTAAAAGAATAGTCACAGAATGTGCAAATGTCGATGAAATATTCAGAATATTTTATGAATACTCCTTATATCAATATATTACAAAAATTATGCGAGAGAGCAATTCACATTTTCGCCAACAAAAGGTTGCGACGGAAAATATTCATGAATAAGAATCACCTAGAAAAGAATATAAAGAGCGCAGTCTGCGAAGTGAACCTCAAAGTAAGCTCCAAGGTGAAAACATGAAATTTGTTCTTTATACACATAGTACAATTTTGTTTAAAAAATGATTCAGGGATGACCGGATCTGGAATTTCTGGAAAAATTAAAATTTTGCGGAATATGTATGGAACATTTTCGGAATATTATATGTAACGATATATAAATAGAATTTTTAACCAATATTTGAATGTTTTTACATTCTTTTTATGAATATTGCAAGAATATTCAGAGTTAACTGGGTGTATGTCCTTTCTTGAAAATCTTGAATATTGTCTGAATAAACATCAGTATCAATATCTTCTACATTTGTACTACTACAACTTGGTATATCACATAATGTATCCACTTTATTTAAATAATCATATTAAAATTTTTTTATTTGTCGATATTTTTGCGCTCGAAAATTTGCTTTCAGTTTATTAAATTCCATTGTAAATAAATATTAAGAATACCTCTTTCACCACAAATTTTGATAAAAATACTTTCAATCTATGCATTTTCGCGCAAAAATAGGTTTGGCAAGAAAAAAGAGTAATTATTCAGTTTAGCCCATGCCATCTCTCAAAAATCAACAAAATTAAACTTATTCGTGTTTTTGCATAAAACGGAACACTCTGGCAGAAAAATCCAGCCATTCGTAAAACAAAAGAACACATTACGCAATTTAATAACTTGAATTAAATACTGTATGAAAATTATTACACATATACTGCATTTCACATATTTAGGTAATAATATATGAAAATACGTATACATGAAACAGGTGTACCATCACGTGACAAACAACGTTAAAGAAATTAGTGGAAAAAATGTTCGTATATTTGAATACTGTAAATTGTACATTATTATAAATTTTATTAAAAAATTACATAAAAATTTTTTATTAACGATAACGAATGCATGTTGAAATGTTTTATAATAGAAAAAGATATTATTTAACGTGAGGCATTAAATTAGGATAAATTGCTTATAATATTCGTGAAGCAACGTTTGCGTTTTTATTTTCTTTTGTACAAAAATAACATATTATGTATGCATAAGCAACATGGACCCAGCAAACCAAAACGTAACTGTTACATAACTTACGGAGCAGTTATATAACTTAGAAAGAACAATGATATATTTCATGGAGACGTAAGTGGACATGTAAGTGTCACATAATTTTGCGGATACTTTAAAAATATATATATTTCTTCGTTATGTTATATAATCATAATAATTATTTAAAAATGTAATCTAACACACACGTAACTCAAAACACATAACATAAATACAACTATGATCTTTTAACAATTTAACGAATGTTATACTGTTACATATAAAATATATATACAGATAGGTTGAATTTATACAACTTCCAGCCGTTAAGGATGCATTCTAGAAGATGCTATTAGTATTTTTTGTGTCATTTTTGTGTTCATCCTTATTTTATATCTAATAAACGATATAGATGGAATGACACAAAGCTCTAATAACGTCTTCTCAAACACAACAAATACTGCAGATTGCTCACGATCAGTTAAAAATTGAATGTTACATATGTAACGCATCTTTTTTATGCACATTTTACTATTCATAACGTCAATTTTTATCACTATGGTACTCATTTTGTATATATTTTATATAGTGTAAAAATATGTAAAAAAGACGTTTATATTACGTTACAGTAATATATTAATGATATTCCTGATATAGAAATGATGTGTTCGAAGTTGCTGACATAAAATCGTACCAGTACGCTATATTTACCGTTACAAAATGTTATATGTACCATTCTTGATATTCGTGTAATATTACATCTAAGTTACATGTTGTGATTTGCTGGAAATAGTCCATTATAATGAGAATTACTCCATCATAGTCAGCATCAAATTTAAAACTATTATATAACTATATCTGGACAAAAATAGTGTAATGATAAAATAATTAAATATTCACACTTGTGTACTGTATCAATTATAAAGCAGCTGTTAAAGATAAAAAGCGGTATGACAGTTTAATCCACACATAATGTTATTACTATTATATGTTACTATTATATGCTGTATACATCATTTGCTCTTTGAGTATTAATACGCATTTTCGGTATCAACATCAAAAACGTGTTTAAAACATTCTAATAAATTCCAGAATAAATGAATAAAATGTCATCAAAGAAAGAGTATTTATTTCTATCTCCGAGAAAAGACACGCACGACAAAATGAATGAACACTCAATTAATTACACTGTAACCGAGTCTAATTAAAAGCAGATTAATTCATTTTTCGAGAATAAAGTCTTTATAACAATTTTCATTTTACAGTGACTTTACCTAAGGCTACCTTTAAATATTTTAAATACTTATAAATTTCTAACATCTGATGCATCTTTGTACGTAAAATACATCTTTCTTAATGTACACCTCAAAATTGAGCAATAAATTATTTTATTATTGAACATTTTTAAAAACACTGTCTCTTTATAAAAATAAATGAAACATTACCATAAAAATTTTAATAATACTAATTTTTAATAAATAATAATTTATTAGGATCGTATAATATGTGAATACACAATAAGTAAGAAAGAATGCCTATACCGATCGAGAAGCTGGATCTTGAGTACTTTAAATAATTTTATGTGAATTTATATACCATATTGTAGTCTCTTGAATTGCCGAATTGGTTTTTCGGACTTAAAAATGCAATTGAACTATGCTATAGTAATATCATAAATTAAATTGACAAGCAATTTAATAATTTGATGTTCAATTGCATCATTTTTAGGAGATCTTAATGTACTGAAAATCTGTAAATAAATTTATTACGAAAAATATTACCTCCAGAAGTCGAACCCGGATCTCTAGCATTTCGTGCCAGTATTCTAATGCGGGGTCTACAATAGAAGTCGTAGCGATCGTAGAGTCTTAAGTCGTAAAAAATTAACCGATCACAGTCGAATATGAGAAGAATAAGCGACTATGATTGGTCAATTTTCTATGACTTAAGACCCTACGATCGTTACGACTTCTATTGTAGACTCCACATAAGCCTTTAGACCAAAGGGATCTTAGTAATATTCCTCGTAATAACCAATATGTAGGAACATACATTTTTCACGCAGTATGTATAAACAATAATAAATTAAATAACTTAAATGCTAATTTTTTTACATGTCCAAATAGATTTCAAAAATATTATTCGAAAATAGAAACACTTGATTAGTTGATAATTTCAAAAAAGAATATAATACAATATACAAGAATATATTTGACTATAAATTATTATATATTATATTTTCTTAATATTCGACTAAATTTTTTATTGTGAAAATATGAGATAATAACAAATAAAACGTGTTAAATTTAAATTTCGTATTTAAAAATGAAAACAAGAATTAATTCATTTCTTTTAATGATCAAAATAGCGTTGATCGTGTAGTTGCGCGGTCAGTCGATCAGTGAATCAATCGAGCGGGATGACACTATGGTACACATTATGATGAACCTTCTTCATGTGTCGCTGAAAATTGCATCGTTGGTGGATTCTCTTGTTACAGTAGGGGCACGAGTTTTGCGGCTCCATGTTGCATTCTTCTCGTAGATGACGGTTTAAGGTGCTCTTGTTAACGTAAGATTTAATGCCGCACTTGTGGCAATTATACCGTTT